ATGAACTTTTTGAAGGCCTCTTGTACTTCTATTTATTGTGTGCCTTCTCTATTCTAGGCTGTGCATTTAAGTTAGCTCATGAGATCAACCACCTCCTAAATACAAGGAAACAGAGCCTCATATTTAAATGTCTTCTCTAAGGGAATGCAGCTAATAAGTGGAAAACTAAATTTGAACTGAGGTCTGCCTTATTCCTAAGCTCCTGACTCCTTTCAATACTGTGTACCACCTCACATCTACTGATTGTTGAATACTTTCTATTTCTGAGGTGCATGGGACACGTGTTATTTTAATTTAACTTTCCAAGGCATTATTATCCCCATTATATGGGAGAGAAAATGGGCTCAGAGAGGTTAAATAACTTGTGCAGGATCACACAGAACTGTGGCTAGAGGCAGAGCTGAGATACTTGGATCTGCTTGACTCCCAAGCTCATTCTCTCTCTGCTTAGCACACGGCGTGATCTAGCCAGAGGGCAAAAGGCTTGTAAGAAGGTGATTGAAATTCAGTGTAATAAGTACAGATATAGAATGGCCAGGACAAGGAACTGCTGGTTCAATGAGGAAGGAATGGAAATAGCTGTTCAGGCTACAGGTTCCAGGTGTTCTGATCATGTCCACGTGATGTTGTTAAATTATTCATCAAACATTGTTTGGGCCATTCAATTTGCTAGGATACTAGTGGCAATAAAAGCACACACGAGAAAAACAAATTCATTTTTTAAAAGAACTCATGGTCTTTTGGAAAGGGGAGGATAGAAGGAGGAGATGGAGAAAAAACTGGCTGCAAGAGAAAAAAGGGCTACAACAGAGCTTGTCACCAGGTGCTATTAACCAAGCCTGGAAAGTAAACCAGTTGCCCTCTCTATTATGAGTCCATCCCATCCAAATCCTTACCAGGTCTGCAAGGCCCTCCAGGGTCTGTCCTGCCAACCTCTGACCTGCTATGCTTCTGCCACATTGACTTATTTTTGCTCCTCAAGGTTACCAAACCTGTTCCTGCCCCAGGGCCTTTGCCCTTGCTGTACCCACTGCCTGGCCTGCTCTTTCCTCAGGTCTTTATGTCCCCGAATCTTATCATCCAGGACTGCAGGGTAGTTGTCTATTCACCTGATTGCCCCACTAGTCTGCACGTGCTATATATTTTTTATCTTATTCTGCATTGTATCCTCAACCCAGCAATGCCTTCTTGCTGTTAAGAAGTAGTGCTCTCTATGCACATATAACATAAAAATTGAATTTATATAGAGGACAAAAGTCAATACAGCAGATAAATATGGCAGCAATTTGTATTGTGTTACAAAAGGTCTATTCGCTTTACAAAAGGATTTTTTGCAGGGTTCCTTGCAGGTATTGCTGTAAGCCCCCCACCCCGCCCCCATCTCAGTGGCTTAACACAAACCAACTTCACTTCCTCAATCATGCAAGAATTCCATGCAAGTGCTCAGTCAGCTGCCTGGCAAATCCCGTGGCTGCACATCCCTGATGCCCTCAAGTCCTCTGCTGGCTCCTCTGCATTTGGCAGGCAGATGGGGAAAGAGAGGAATCACTCACGAGGTTTTCTTCTGGGCCAGACCTGGAGGGGGCCCACATCACTTCCCATCCCATTCACTGGAACTCAGTTGCATGACCACATGAACTGCTAGGGAAACTGGGGAAAGGGGTCTGGCTGTGTGTCCAGAAGGAAAGGGAAATAGGTTTTGGTGACCACACAGCAGACTCTGCCACTGGGAGCATGCAGAGCCAGACAGCCCTTGGGTCAAGTGAGGCCTTTGTATACCTGCAATGGGTCCCAGAATGAAGGACTTGTACTGATATCTACTGTTTTGGTTTTACAGTCAAACACATGTGATCAAAATCTAAATAACTGCCTGGAACTCATTGAACAAGTTGCCAAAGTGCAGGCACAACTCTTTGGGATCCTCACTACAGCAGCCCAAGAAGGTGAGAGTGGCCTGTGCTTTCCCGTCCAGCTCTCCCTCCCTTTCTCTCTTTTCTCTGTGCTTCCTTGTGCTCTCTGACTGAGTTGATACAGTTGAGTTTCTCTCGCTGACTCAATATGTGTGTTCTTTTAGGGGGACACAATGATGGTGTGGAAACAATCAAATCACGCCTTTTGCCATGGCTGGAGGCTTCCTTTACTGCTGCTTCCCTGGGAAAACCTGTTGACAGCAAGGTCCCCTCTCTACAGGTAGGGATGCTAAAGGTAAC